TTAACACTTTAAAGAGGTCTTTTGCAGCAGATCTGCCCAATGCAATGCGTCATTTGATATCTTGACTGCTGTTTCCATGGGTGTTGATTGTGGATCCAAATAAAATGAAATCTTTGACAACTTCAGTCTTTTCTCTATTTATCATGATGTTGCTCACTGGTCCAGTTGTGAGGATTTTTGCTTTATGTTGAGGTGTGTCACGGATTGAATCATGTCCCCCAAAAGTATCTGTCAACTTGGCTGGGTCATGATTTCCAGTATTGTATGACTGTAATTTGATGCGATTTCTTTGTGTTGTAAACTCAATCACTATGATGAGGTTACACTGATGAGATTTACAAGATTAGAGTATCTTAATCCAATCTCTTTTGAGATATAAAAGAGAGAAGCAAGCAGAGACACATGGGAACCTCACACCACCAAGAAAGCAGTGCTGGGAGCAGAGTGCATCCTTTGGACCTGAGGTTCCTGCACAGAGAAGCTCCCAGACCAAAGGAAGATTGATTACACGGACCTTCCTCCAGAGCCAAAGGACCTTCCTCCAGAGCCAACGGAGAATGCACTCCCCTGGAGCTGATGCCCTGAATTTGGACTTGTAGCCTACTGGACTGTGAGAGAATAAACTTCTCTTTGCTAAATCCATCCACTCGTGGTATTTCTGTTAGAGCAGCACTAGATGACTAAGACAAGGTGCAATCCAGCAACCATTAATTAATGGACATTAATTACTTGGACATGCTAAATGGGAACCTATAGGATTGCCCAAACCCAGAGAGATTGTTAATTTGAAACACCATAAAATACCTGGTGGACAAAAAGAAATTATCATTGGTGGCACAGTGGTTAAAAGCTACAGAGAGCTATGGCTGCTAACCAAAAGGTCAGCATTTCGAACCCACCAGCCACTCCTTGGAAACCCTATGGGGCAGTTCTACTCTGCCCTACAGGGTCGCTATGAGTTGGAGTCAACTCGACAGCAACGGGTATTTTAATCAATTACCATTTAAATTAATTAATTACCATTTTAATTAATGATATGCTAGAACCCAGCACCTGGTCAGTTGGATTTAGGAGGACACATATTCCACATCCAGACATATTTTTAGCTCCTATCCATAAAACTACCTGAAAGAAGGTCATATGTGAATGAGGCCTGACCAAATGCAGGCCATGTCTGAACTGTAAAGTGGTCTCTCACTCAATGCCTCTGGATTCCTATGCTCTACACTCATGATTTTGAAAGGTGCACAACAGGTACTTACACAAATTGGCGCTTAAGGCAAGAGCTTGTGAGTGCCACCCAGTGGTGAACGCTGGGATTTTGGACCAGAAAACTTCTGGATGCCATGGTAACATATACACCATTTGAGAGATAGTTACTAGCTTGCTGTTGGGCGCTGTTACTGGCCCTATGACTGAAGGACATAAAAGAACCCTGTAACGTAAAATATCACAACGTCTTGGGTGATGTCTAAGAAACATTCTAAGAAGGAAGATGGTGCCCAGCAGAGTCTCACAGGAAAAAGGAAAGGGCACAGGGATACGCAAGGAGGTGCTCTTCTCTTCACAGGCAGGTAGCCTCTCTTCCCTAGGCCGACTCTGGAACCACCCAGGAGCTCCAGGACCCTACTGCCACTGTACAGTGCCATATGGACAGCTCTCTAGAGACCAACAAAGAGCTTTTGGCTGTGGATGGCAATTCCAAAGTGGAAGGCCAATTGTGTTAAGATTGGAGGATAGAAAGACCCTGATGAAAGAAGGCAAGAATAAATCAGCCCACTGGGCTTAAATGAGTGCTGTTTTCTTTGCAGCAATGACAGAATTGAACAACGTTAAGAATGCCTACGTTTGTGTCTTTATCGACTCACAGGCAGTAGCCAGTGGTCTGGCCATATGCCCAGGTAGGTGGTCAGTGGCAAACTGGACTATTACAGGTATGCCTGTACGGGGCTCAGACGTATGGAAATCACTGTGGAAACTTAAGGGTTGTGTTAAAATAGGACATGTCAATGCCTATCAAAAGAACCCCTTCCAAGGCCAGGAGGTGACTGGAACTGTAAGTGGCTAGCTTGGTGTGCTCGCCTGAGGTGGCCACCTGGGTCCACGAAACGAGTAAGCATGGGGGAACTGTAGCAATGCAGAGATAAACTGAATCTAGACATACTCCTCTTGCACCCTCTGAGGTACCAAACACCAATAAGAGAGGCAGAGATGACCATGGGCAGATCAGATTCCCCGGATGGAAGGCACCACACATACCTGGCAAAGCAAACAGGTCAAACTGATGCTGGGAGCCCCAGGAAGCAATAAATGTGACCGGTCACAGAAACAGACACTTACTCTGGACTGGGCTTTGCATAGCTGGTGGTATGCAAATGCTCAAAATACTGTAAAAGGCCCAGAACAGAAGACACTGCACCCACTTGGCTGGCTGAGTTACACGTCTTCAGACCGAGGAACACACCTGACAAGCCGGCGTCCAACAGCAGACAGAGCTAGCACATCAAACGAGCATGCCGTGTTGCTGACCATCCACAGAGGAATGGTTTGATGGAGAACTGGAACAGGTAACTGAACCGTTCATTGTCTAGAATGGGGTAGGAGGCCCGGAGGCTGGCTTATACGTCTTCATGAGTGTGCGCTCACACTCCCATGAGGGGAACAAGGGAGGGTCCCCACTCAGAGATTCCTTCGCTTTTCTGGGTGATCTGAGGAAGAGAGGTGGGGCAGATGCTGACACTATTCTACGGCTCTTCCCCACATCACTTCAACTTTCTTTTCTCCTACCTGATGCAGTGGCCCCAGGGATGCATCCGGGGGTGCCGGCAGCAGGGATGATCCCTAAGCAAGAAGCTGTAACTATACCTTTAAGGCTTTATGTCAATTCAGGAGGGCCTGATGGGGAGGACTGTGCCTTCACCCCATCTGACAAGACTGGGGTTGATGGCAAACGTGGTTGTACCGCCTAGTGGTCCAGAGAGCCCCCTGGTTCTGTACCTGTGTTGCCCTGACCCTACGTGAATGGGAGCAGGCCAACAGGAAGGCACAGCTGGATGGCTACTGTTGCTGGCAACCTGGACCAGCATGGTGGCGAACCTAATGCTCCTTCAAAAGGTAGAAGCGTTTGGGTAAAGAAATCAATGATAAATGGAGAGGAAGAGAAATAGTAGCTGATGGTAAAGGAATGAATAAACGCATTAGGCAACAAGGAAAATCCACTATTCCACTGGTGCTCAACAGAGGCTCAGAGCACGAGACAACGTCATCTCTGAGCTTGTGTAATCATACCACGTGTTGGAAGGGGGAGGCCATATGCCGCCAAGGCCACTCCTGCTTCTGGAACCTGACTAGGTGAATGGAAGCCTGCACACCTGAGTGGCCTCGCCCCGGAAGACATTTCGGTCGGACAACATGCTACACTGGACCAATCGTCAAGGTACGTAAGTCTTAGAATAATACTGATAGTGATGGTCAGATATATTGGGAGAGGGAAGTACAGCCTCTTTAGGTGAAATGCAGATGGAACCTGACTAGATTTAGCTCATCATCAGTAATTTATCCGCTCCATCGTTCTGCACAATTTATCATGAGATACAAACAGCGCACACGAAGGGGGAAATGAGTAATAAGTTAGTACAAAACGAGGAAAACATACGTAATGGCTTTTTTCTTCCAATCTACCCACCCACGCCGCCTGGTCCCGATGTCAGGCACGCTTACACTGATGCTGCTGCCGTACCTGTTATGGAAACGCTACGCTAAATGCAGATGCCCAAGCAGGACCATCTTGCTGAGAGCCCTGGCAAAAGGCCAAGGGGTGGCCTGTGGAGTAACGGATTAACCCTGTCCAAAGAAACATTAGGCCCTTTGCTGCCAGCTCCTGGGAGGTAACCTCTGAGCCCTTAGAATGCCTGCCTGTCAAGAGTATCTTTGTTTACCTGGGGCCTTGGGCCATGCAAGATAGTCCATGCTAACAAAGTGGTTTATGGTGGGGGCCCTGGGCCACGGGAGATAGTCCATGCTAGCAATGTGGTTTATGGTGGGGGCCTTGGGCCACGCCAGATAGTCCATGCTAACAATGTGGTTTATGGTGGGGGGCCTTGGGCCACGCCAGATAGTCCACACTAACAATGTGGTTTATGGTGGGGGCCCTTGGGCCACGCCAGATAGTCCACGCTAACAAGGTGGTTTATGGTGGGGGCCTTGGGCCACGCCAGATAGTCCACGCTAACAAGGTGGTTTATGGTGGGGGCCTTGGGCCATGCCAGATAGTCCACGCTAACAAGGTGGTTTATGGTGGGGGGCCTTGGGCCACGCCAGATTGTCCATGCTAACAATGTGGTTTATGGTGGAGGCCTTGGGCTCCATGGTATCAGCTCAACCTCTGAGGTGGATGGAGACTAAGGTCAGCCATACAGGCATGCCATGCCTAAGTGATCGACCCCCCAATAAAGTCCCTGGACACCAGGGCTCAGGGGAGCTTGCCTAGTTGGCAAGACTTCGGATGTACTGTCACGTATCATTGCTGGGAGAAACAAGCGCTGTCCCATGTTTCCACTGGGAGAGACAACTGGAAGCTCAAGCCTGGAGCTCGCCTGGCCTCTGCGCCATGTGCCTTCTCCTGCTGCTGACTAATGTGTATCCTTTCACAGCAGTAAACTGTAACTGTGAGTGTAACAGCTCTGCTGAGTTCTATGAGTCCTCCTGGTGAATTACTGAACTCAACAGTGGTCTTGGGGATCCTGAACTTGCAGTCTATCTCCCCGATCAAGCGGTAAGTCCCGTAAGAGCAGGGATTTTGGTCTCTACTCCCCAGTGTCTCCCAAGGACCTTGTGCTTGGCAGGGACTCAGTAAACACAGGCCTGGCGCACAGCAGGAGCCTGGTACCATCACGAGAAAAAGGGGGGGCGGGGGCTAAGACAGGGTGCTGCTTGCGAGCGTGAAGACAGCTCTTCCCACAGGGGGCTGCTCTCAGAGTGACCCCTGCACAGGCACTGACCTCCACTGTGCCCGCTGCTCACAGGGCCTGAGGGCCGGGCACTCTGGCACCCAGAGGGGGGCGGCCCTCGGGTCGGGGCAGTGTTGCCGTAGCCTCCGTTCTGCTCCAGGAGCTGCAAAGATTCCAAATGCAAGGAAATCAATTCTCTACGTTAACCGCTATAAAAATCAGAAGTACAATTTATACCTGCTCCACCTCGTAAAGCAACACTGTATACATGCCACTACACGAGAAGCCATGCCTTTCAGAGGCCATGAACTGCAGGCAAGTTGGCTTTTAAGCTAATCCATCCTTCTCCCACCTAACTTCTATAAAACCTGAGGTAAGAATTACCCATGAGTCTAAAGAGTCAGCTTGAACCAAAAGCCGGGTCAGATTAATAAATAAAACCTCTAGTTAAATCATCCTGTGAGGCAGTATCCAGGAAGATACGTTTATAACACATGAAAACAGCCGTGTGCACTTGCATTCACCCAGGAAGTGCCCTCGGGGCCCCACTATGGCCGTGGACCCGCAGTGTGTGTGGGAGCACAGCCCTGAGGAATGAGTGGCCAGTCCCGCAGCGATGGAGCACCAGTGCAGACACGGGGAGATGCAGTGGGATAAGACTCTGTAGGAAGTCTAGACCTTCAACATACTTTGGTTTCTCTTCATAACTGGGATGGAAAGCTGCTAGAGGATTCTGGTAGAGGAGCTCTGACCAGGCTCATGCTTTTATAAAAGGAACACCGTGTTTGCCCTGCAGGGAGACGTGGACAGACGTCCATGCAGGGATGGTGGTGCTCGGACCAGAACATCAGCGGAGCAGGTGCTGGGGTGGACGGCTTCTGCTCCGCCAGTGTGGACATTAGGCATGAAAGAGATGAGTCAAGGATGACTCCAAAGTTCAGGGCCGGAGCAGCCGAAAGAACAGAGCTGCTGTTTTCCAAGACGGATGGGAAAGACTGAAGGAGGAACATGCTTGGTGGGGAGATGCGGGAGTTTGGCTTAGGAGACGGTGCTCAAGGTCCATGTCTTTATCACATATCCAAATGCAGCTGCCACAGAGGCTGACTGTGCGAGTCCAGGGTTGTGCAGAGCGGTCGGGCATGATGGAAGCTGGGAGTCTTCAAGTAGCATTTCATGTGTCAGAGAGCAGAGGGTTGATGACTGGGCCCCAGGGCATCCCAGAGGAATGAGGGGACTGAGGAGGAAGAGGGAGCCACGGAAAAGCAGTGTCTGAACGGCCAAGGGAGGCGAGGAAGCAACTGCGCTGAAGGGTCCAGAAGACCAGGAGCGATGTGGGTAGAGCCGGGGTTCGGGTGGCAGCACAGAGAGCCCAGCAATTGGTCAAGAGCTCCTCCAGCAGAGCGGCAGGACACAAGGCTGATTTGTGTGGTTTCAAGAGAGAACAGGAGGAGAAGATGAAGCAAAGACAGACGACTCACAGTGTGTCGCTGTGAAGAGAAACAGAGAAATGGGGCCTTAGCTCGCGGGACACAGGGTCAAGGGAGAGGCTGGTGGCTTCTTGTTCTTTCTTTTTTAAATATGGGAGACATTTTAACACGTTTAGATGCTGATGGGGAAAATGCTGCAGAGAGACAAAAATTGGTAACATGGGAGAAAGAGGAGAACCATGTCTCTTGGTGAACAAAAGGGGGTACATCTAACACACCATGGAGGAGCTGGTCATGGGCGGCACTGGGAAGAAGGCAGAGAATGCTGGGTGAAGGTGCTCACAGGCTGGTGGATGCACTGGTGGAGCAGGAGCATTCCCTGCTGACCACTTCTGCTTCCTTGTCAAACAGGAGGTGAGATGTCTCCCTGTCAAACAGGGGGTGAGGTGTCTCCTTGTCAAAAAGGAAATGAGAGGTTTCCTTGTCAAACAGAAAGTGAGTGGTTTCCTTTAAAAAAAAGGAAGTGAGGGGTTTCTTTGTCAAAGAGGAGGTGAGGTGTTTCCTTGTCAAACAACAGGTGAGGCATCTTCTTGTTAAATAGGAGGTGAGGTGTTTTCTTGTCAAACAAGAGGTGAGGCATCTTCTTGTCAAATAGGAAGTGAAGTGTTTTCTTGACAAACGGGAAGTCAGGTATCTCCATGTCAAAGGTGAAGTATCTCCTTGTTAAACAGGAATGAGAGGTTTCCTCATCAAACAGGAGGTGAAGTGTCTCTTTGTCCAACAGGAAGTGAGGGGTTTCCTTGTCAAATAAGAGGTAAGATGTCTCCTTGTCAAACAGGAAGTGAAGCGTCTGTCAAATGAAAGTGTGGTTGACTCCTTGTCAAACAGAAGTGAGGTTTCCTTGTTGGACAGGAAGTGAGGTGTCTCCTTGTCAAACAAGAAGTGAGGGATTTCCTTTAAAAAAGTAAGTGAGGGGTTTCCTTGTCAAACAGAAGGTTAGGTGTCTCCATGTCAAAGGTGAAGTGTCTCCTTGTCAAACAGGAAGTGAGAGGTTTCCCTGTCAGACAGGAAGTGAGGCAGTCAGCATGAAGAGCCACTGTGTCCTTCCTTCCCTTGGAGCCATGGTTGCCCAGGGCATGCCCTCCATCTTCAAGGTGCCCTTGCAGGAAGGTGGCTGTGTCTCAGTTCTGGACAAAGATGCCTAAGTTCAGTGTGGTATGGCGGCACTGGAACTCTCCTGAAGGCACAGTTTGAGTAGCCCACCCACTCTGGCCTCCTCTGTCTGACTCCCACACCACCCCTTGGCCCCTGATCTATAGACCACAGAAGTATGAAATCAAGGTGTTGACAGCGCTGTCTTCCCTCCAGAGGCTCTGGGGGAAGAATCCCTCCTTGCCTCTTGCAGCTCCTGGTGGCCCCAGGTGTTCCTTGGTTTGTGGCTGCATCACTCCAATCTCTGCCTCCATCTTCACGTGGCCTCCTCCACTTCTGTCTCAAAACTCCCTCTGTCTCTCTCTTATAAGAACAGACGTGACTATGTTTATGGCCCACCTGTATAATCCAGGATAAGGTCCTCTTCAAAATCCTTAACTCAATCACATCTTTTGCAGCTTGGAAGAAGAGTCATCCTTTTGTCACGTAGGATAATATTCCCAGATTCCAGGGATTAGGGCATGGACACATCATTGGGGCCACCGTTCAGCCCACTACACAAGGTAACCACTAAGACATTGCGTCTATGACTCTCTCCTCATGCTGCTTTCACTTTCTTTCATACCAGTTACCACTGACTGACACATCACACAGGTGTGTCCAGCTCCTCAACCGGAACATACGCGCCTTAAAGGCAGGACTTTACATTGTTCCCTGCTCTCAGTCCCTCAGATACCAAGAGTGGGCACATGGCAGTATTTGTTTAATGGGTAAACCCTGGGCTCATTCATAATTAAATTCTCACCAGTCCCACGCAGGTAGTGTGTACTGGAGCCTCGAAACTCACGTCATGGGAATCGTGTTTCTCATAATTTTTATAAACTTCTCCACACCTGGGACCTCACACAGGTGGCACACTTCTGTGTTACTTCCACCAGCTATAATCAGGTGTTCTAGCCCCCTTCAAGGGGACTCAGGTCCAGCCCCAGGTGCTCTCTGGGCCTGACCGCCTGGGCTACTGTGAGGCAGGCTCCTACCTGGCCCTCCGCTATGGCTGGGGGCTCCCCTGCAGAGAACAGTGTGAGAACTTGAGAGCAGACTGGGTCTCTCTCAGTGCTATATCCAGATTGTGCGATTACATGAAACACCTCACGAGGTCAGACACCGCTGCATAATCGCGCACCATGGTCCTGGAGGGACCCCTGCTCCCTTACCTCTGTGATGGGTGATTTAGGATTCACGTTTCTGGCAGCGGCGATTTCCTGGAGCTGGTTGACCACCTCTGTGATGGACAGCCGCTCCTCTGGGTTCACCTTGAGTGTGGAACCTGAAACAGAGGCAGGCTGCGTGTTCACCAGGGGGCCGTGATCAAGAAGAGCCAGAGCGGCGCCAGGAGCTTTCCAGGGCGTCAGGGATCCCTGGGTGGTGCCACGTAGTAACCTGCTCTCCCAGAGCTTACAGAACACCAGAGGCTGCTCATTTTAAGCATATTACACTGTTATTAAACGCAAGCGGGGGGATGGAGTGAAGAATAGTACACAACTGAACAAAATCATCACCATTTCAGAACATTTCAGCACCAAAGGGCTGACCCAACATGGGCTTCATGGAAAAGCCATGGACACCCAGTGACTGTCAGAAACAAGAGCGACTGGCACGAACCAGGAGAGGCGGCCAACATCGCAGTGGCCCGAGGCGGCAATGCTGGGAGGGGAGAGCAAGGAGCAGCCCCCAATCCAACAACGGGAGCTGTCCTCTCCCACGAGGCCTCACCACGCTGCTTTCATTTTACAGTGGAAAACTTACGAATGAGATCGTGAAAGACGGTGTACCGAGTGTCGTTCAGAGGAATCAAGTATTTCCCATTAACTATTCGAAGCTTTGCTCCATCTTCAAAAGGATGCTGCTGGAAGCACAGGAGGTACAAGATGCAGCCCAGGGCCTGCAGGGACAAGGACACAGGCTGAGCGCCCAGGGCCCGCGGGGACGAGGACATGAGACAAGCACCAAGGGCCCTCGGGGATGAGGACACAGGCCAAGCGTCCAGGACCTGTGGGGACAAGGACACAGGCCGAGCACTCAGGGCACAGAGGAGCATGTGTTGCGGTGGCCTTCTCCCTGATGATCCTTCCGGGGGAAGAGTCAGTCAAGGCTCACGTCTTTTGTTTGGTTTCATGGATGAGCTTGATTTCTTAACATCAGACTACCGCTCTCACACTGCACACCACAGGTGAACAGTCATGCTCCTCACTTGGTCAAGCCTCGTTTTTTCACACTTATCAACCACAAAAAACAATTTAGGTTAGCAGAGTAAGCATATTTCAAGCTCTTTCTATTCAGATCAAAAGGTTCCTTTCAAAATGACATAGTCTCTAAGTTCCAACATCCCAGGAACCTGGAGTACACTGGGGACCTGTGGCTGGTGGGCTGGCTGGGACCCACACAACAGCCCATCCTGGATGCACGGGAACACCCGTTGTGGAGACTCTTGCTTAACAGGCCGAGTGACCAACGAGGGAAAGTACCATTCTTGCGTTTTAGTTTTAACATAGTGAAACCTGTGAGAGCCAGAACTCAATGGGACTGCCTTGTTCTTCCAGGTCTCACAAGTTTTCTGCCTTTGACAAGGTGTAGTCTTACCACTTTTCAATCCCTCGTTTTAGCGGGAAAATATTTGAGTTATCCTTCTCTGACAGGTTTCGGCCTTACACGGGTTCTGGGTTTCGCAGGCTTTACTGTTTTAAGCCCAGAGTGAATTCGCACTGAATTAAAATATGCAAGAAAGACATCTATCACGTCAATTAAGGACAGCCACAGAAATGGCCCTGAACCAAAATATTATTCTTTTCATATAGACCACTTATTCTGCCTAAAATATCCCAGCTAGATAAACTGAGGAACTAACTAGTCATTATTCCCATGTGAAAAGGTTACCCAGCTACAACGGGCAGCAGCCACTAGACTATCCAGGTGAGACGAAGCCTTACGCTCACAGCATGCTGGGTAAACGCCACCCAGGCTCGTCTTAAGTGACTGTCCTTATCCTGTCTGCGGTGGGGGTGGGCACACACACGCCCGCAAGCATGCCTGGCCCCATGCTGGGGCACATGGCGAGGGGCCACTTGGGTGTGGGGTGGACTAAACAGGAAAAGCTCATTCAGATGCAGCTTAGGCCCAAGGACCATGGACTGCTTCTGTCAGGAGAAGAACAAAACAAAGCTGGAGTTCTATTAATCCATGCATTTAAAACTGTGTGTTTAAAAAGCTTATTAAGAAAATATTCTGCACTCTACTTCGGCGAGTGGCGTCTGGGGTCTTAAAAGCTTGCAAGAGGCCATCTAAGATGCATCAATTTGTCCCAACCACCTGAAGTAAAGGAGAAGAAAGAACACAAAAGACACAAAGGAAGTATTAGCCCAAGAGACCGAAAGGGCCACATAAACCAGAGACTTCATCAGCCTGAGGCCAGAAGAACTAGATGGTGCCTGGCCACGACCAGTGACTGCCCTGACAGGGAACACAACAGACAGCCCTGGAAGGAGTAGGAAAAAGGTGGTGTGCAGAGCTCAAATTCTAGTAAGACCAGACTGAACGGTCTGACTGAAACTGAAGAAACCCGGAAAGCATGGCCCCTGGATTCTCTATTAGCCGAGAACTAAAACAATTTCTGAGGCCAACTCTTCAGACAGCGATTAGACTGTACTGTGGGACATAAAGTGATACTTACGAGGGGTGTTCCTCTTAGCTCAAGTAGATACAAGAGACTAAATGGACAGCTTCTGTCTGGACGTGAGATGGGAAGGCAGAGAGGGCTAGGAGGTGGTTCAATGGACATAGGAAATCCGGGGTGGAAAGGAGGAGTGTGCTGTCGCAGTATGGGGAGAGCAAATAGGGTCACATAACAATGTATGTATAAATTTTTATATGGGAGACTAACTTGAAATGTAAACTTCATTTAAACTACAACAATAAAAAAATTTAAACAAAAAAAATAAAACCGTGTGTTTAAGAATTAACCGAGACGTGCTCGGAGACAGTGCGGCACACATCCCGTCCAGTCCTGACCGAACCAGTGTCCAGCCTGCTCGTGGAGACGAAAGGTACAGACTGCAGGCCCTGACAAACCAATGAAATCCTCCACCGTATCCGGGCCCTGGTCAGTCCTCATCCACATACTCACCTTATCCACAACAACCAATACGGCCTGAAGTCTAACTTCTAGGACCTATGGGGGGACCCTACCCACCTCCTCAGGGACACCCCTACCAAGGATATCCACAATACAGCTGGCAGGGGGGGACCCCAGCACCTCCTAAAACCACAGTGTATGTGCTGGAAGACCAAAGAAGGAACGACCTGGGCCTGTCCACCTGCCTCACAGCCTGCTGGACTGCTCTCTGTTGTTGCCGTCTCTGGGACATGCTCACCTGAACAGCCCAGCCCTCCTGTCCTGCCAGGCCTGCCACTGCCTCTGATGAGTATGCCTGCCCCCATCTTCTCTGATGGATGTAAGAGATGACCTTCACCTTTGACCTTCAACCCAATGAGATTCTAGATTAGTGGGGGTTGCTGTTGTTTAATTCAGTGACTTGATCTTTTTAATATTCAGAATCCGGTTCTTACTGGCCTTTAACAAATATGCTAAATGACTCTCATTATTTTTTTGGGCCAAAAGCTTACGAAATATGTATTTATAATTTTTAAATTATACAGTCAAGGTAGTGGTAAACTGTAACACATCACTGAATGATTTCTCTACCAGCACCCTGTGTGTTTCAATAAGTCTGTCTAAACCTCAAAAAATAAAAAAATTAAAAAATTAACTGAGTACAAAGAGAAGGCTGGCTTTTGCCCCAGGGTCCTGGGAGGTGATTGCTATACCTCTGGAATGTCCTGCTGGTAAAGGTGTCTCTGTTTACCTGGGAGACATGGGCCACACCAAATAATCTACAAGCAACATGATTTCAAGGTCAGCCACGCTGTGGTGGGCCATGTCCACGTGGCTGACCCCAATAAAAATCTGCCACCAAAGCTTGTGTGAGCTTCCCTGGTTGGCAAAACTCTGTGTATATCGTCACACAGTATCGCTGGAAGGAGTCAGTGCTGTCCACAACTCCACGGGGAGGCAACAATTTGGAACTCTCCTGGACCCTGACCCCTGACACATCTCCCTGTGGCTGATCTGCACTTGCATCCTTTCACTGTAATAAACCGTAACCAAGAGGACAACAGTTTTCAGTGGGTTCTGGGGGTCCGCCCAGTGACTTAGCAAAACTGAGGGTAGTCTTGGGACTCCCTGAGCTTGTCAATGGCGTCAGAAGTGAAGGTGGGTTTAGAGACCCCGCCAACACTGCACAAACTATAAATGGCCTCTGCTTGAAAAACAAGACTGAAATTGGTGCACATCTGAGCTAAAATACAGTAATGGCTTCAGCACTGAGGCGCAAACCCAGCAGGTTAGACTACAACCCTCAGGCACGAAAACTCCATGACGCAGCCGCACAGGAGCCCAGGGTCGGCGTGTGGCTGTGGATGCCGTCGTTGTCCCTGTTTTTAGGTGAATGTCACTGGCTACAGCCAGACTAGGGAGGGCACAGGAAACCTCTGTGCAGGCCGGGACAGAGTCTGTGTGTGGGACCGCCCCTCCACGCCTGACCCCAGGGTGCCAAGGGGCACCCCCAGCAGGACGGGCAGAGGCGCAACAGGTCAACGGAGCCCTCCACGCCACAGAGGCCCCTCATGCCAGACGGACACAGGCACTGCTGGCAGAGATGAGGAAGACCGTACCCAGATATCCTGCTTCTCGTTGATCGGGAAGTTGGAGTATAAGTCTACGATTTCTGGAGTTCTATACATGGGCGTTGTATTCCTCGTGATCTGAAGAAAAAGCACAAACATTTCAAAGGAAAAATTACATGCAGAGCAATATGTCTTCCTTCATAGCAAATGACCTGCAGCTCCCCAAACTGTACAACAGTGTCAGGCTAGCACCCCAGTCGCCCACGCAGAATATCTGTGAATGGACGTTTATTTACATCGTATGTGATCCAGAAACACCCGAGGTCGCTCAATTCCCTACGCACACCACCGCTGCCACTTATCTTCATGTTAAAGCCCACTTCCCACAGTCTGCGTAGTGTGAGTCACTTGGGCTCTACGAATCTCTTACTGTACTTTTAATTAAAAAAAGGACCAAAGGATTCACCTACTGTGCGTCCTACGTTGTTTGTTTGGAAGTAGGAGTACGCCTCGCTCAGCACAGAAGGCATATCCCAGAAGGCCACCTAGAGGTACCTCTGAAGGAAGGCCTGTGATCTACTTCTGAAAATTCAGCCATGAAAACCCTATGGAGCAGAGCTCTACTCTGACACACATGGGGTCGCCACGAGTCAGAGTCGACTCAACAGCAACTGGTTGGTTCCAGGTGTTGGGTGGTACAGACAGTTAACGGTTAAAGTGCTCGGCAGCTAACCGAAAGGTTGGAGGTGCTGTAAGTCAGAGTCGACTCGATGGCAGTGGTAACTAGAGGGGAATTATGTGAATGTACTGAAGGAAGTGCTCCCTGAGAGAAGCCTCCCGATGGGTTCCTGCAGGGGACAGAGAAGGCTTTGGAGAGGTGGAAATAACTACCCCAAATTTACCCAGGTAGCTTAGGTTTTTATATCAAACTCAGAGACCCACATCAGGAAGAATATGAGATGAAGAATGAGGCTGGCATGTAAAGATGAGGGGAAAGGAGGTCTTCTCAGTAGGAGGCGCGGGGTAACCTGAGCATCCGTGTGGGGACTAGTGAGTCTGGTACTCAGCACACGCACGCGCACACACACACATGCACACACACATACACACACACACTCCAAGTCTGTGACTCAAACGTGAGAGTCAGACAAACGTGTCTAGAAATCCCACAGCAGACTCGTGTCCTGACCTTGGGCTGGTAGAGATTTCTTACGCGGGATACGAAGGGCACAACCAGCAAACGCAAACTGGGGTAAACCATTCTCCAAGTGAACATCTTCTATTCAAGAGAAATCTTCTTAAGATGGTAAAGAGGCAAGCCACAGGCTGGGAGAATATATCTGCAAGACACGGCCCCCACCAAGGGCTGGTACCCAGACTGTACGCATCATGCCTACAACTCCCTGAGAGATAAAAAGACAGTCCGATGAAAAGTGGCAAGAGACCTGAACAGGCACTTCCGAAGGGAAGAGGGCACGTGACAGTGTGCATGTGAAAAAGGCACTCGGCCTCATTAGTTGGCAGGGAAATGCCAATTAAGACCACAAAGTGACAGCAATCACAGACACAAGGGTGGAGGCGGGCAGGGTGCAGAGGGTGTGGCGAGGAGTGGCAGAACCCCACGCACTGACTGAGGACAGGAAGCCGGCCCAGCACTCTGAAGAACCATCGGCAGGATGGGCTACAGCCGCACACGTGCACGCCCTCGGACCCGGCACTTCACCTAGAGGTGTGCAACTGAGAGATGCAGGGACTGTGCGCACCCATAGACACGGTCACGGCGGTCAGACAGAGCTACAAGACAGTCAGACCCGGGGCAACCCAAACACGCCTCAACCACAGACTCACAGATGGTGATACGTTCACAGGGAGAATACAGAGCGGCAAAGGAGAGGAACAGACTGCAGTTCCCCACCACGTGAGGGTACGTCACAGAGAGTGCGGAGACCACGAGCCAGACCCAGGAGGCTCGACTACGCAGCTCCGTCGGCAGAGTCAACACCAGGCAGGACAGGCTGGGGCATCGAGGCAGGATGGCAGAGGCACCAGAGTGACAGTGACACAGCATGCTCACTGGGTGGGAAGTCCCCAAGCTGTGCAATTACGATCCCACACTGTTCTGCATATGTGACGTGCTTCCCGCGAAAACTTCATTTTATATAAACTTTATACATAGCTTTAACCCTTCGACTCAGCAGTCCCCTTCTAGGACTTCACCCAGAAGATATATTCCCAACAACAGAAAATTACACGTGCACGAGGTAACTGATGGCAGCACTGTCTGTATGGTCAAAATATTGAGAACCACCTAAGCAGCAAGCACAGTTACCAGCTGAACAAATGGCAGCACACATGATGGAGCACGACACTGCTCAGCTCAATGGGCTGATGTGGGCTGCTTCCCAGGATACCGTGAGGGGAGAAAATGATGCAAGGCAGAAGAATATGCACAGTGTGCAGTGTTGTGTGTGAGAAGAAGGGACGCTGGAAAATGTACATCTATCTGCTTATTGTTGGACAAAGAAACAAGAAGGATGAACCAGATAACAATGAAGCTGAGGATCTATGTGGAACAGGATGGAGTAGTGTATTAATGTTTTTACATGATAGAAGAATAAACAGAATTAAATCACCATGGACGAGAAGGGGGAAAAGTCTTAAGACTGAAAGCAAACTGGAAAAAAAAAAAAAAAAAGGTTTATTTCAAATGAGTGACATGACCACACTGAAGAAAAGAATAAATAA